TGCCTGCTGCTTCATATAAATTAACAAATTAGGTTGGAAGGTACTGGCTGTCTCTTTAGGAATTTTTTCCTTCAGACTGAAATAATCTTCAAGCTCCTTAATTTTGCCCAAATGTTAGATTCTGTATTTGTAGTTTGAGCTAGAAACGCTTTTTAGTTGTTTAGGATAATTGTACATGAATTATGCTATTTGAGATTTTGCTTTTATTCAGTAGGGGCTCCTCTAAACACCCATCTCATTTTTCAGGTTTGGAATCCTGGAGACCTCAAGCTGTGAAGAAGTTGGAAGCCAGAATTCCTCCGAATCCAAAACAGTACTCAGGACGTAAGTATGGTTTTGTACAGTGATCCCCAGTCAGGATTCAGTATTGGAGGAGAATGTGGGCAGCATCGCTGTTATTTCCTTTGAAAATTCACAGCACTGTTTGCTTGCTTAAACAAGCTTGTGTAAAGGCCAAATATCAACTGTCTCCTAACATATCCAATAATATAACCCAGAGATCTTTCTGTCAAGGAGATTGTCTCAGAATTAAATATGAGATGAACACATCTAGGCCAACATTTTGTTGATTAAACAAACAAGGAGTGTTTGTTTCCCCTGCCTTATCTATAGCAGTAAATGGTTATTGCTTATGACTGATTTTATTGTGCATTACAACAGTGTCTGCAGACCAAAGCTGAGGTGGTTTCAGGCAACGTGTGTATGCATGTATCTTTTCCACTAGTGTCCCTATGATTTACAGTGTTGCTTTTAGAGTGAAATTTAAATTCTGAAGTCATCCTAATTTGCAGGAAAAATAGGAAAGCTGTTTTGAAATGCAGTTTAAATGGGAAAAAAGTGCTTTGGTTATCCTCCTAGGGTCATATGAAACTGCATTTTATCTTTAGACATTGGGTGTAAAATGTGCCTTAGGTCATCAGCATTTGTACTTTGACGTCTGTATGACCTGTGGTTTGCATGCATTGTGGCAGTAAAAAGTAGCTGCGTTGTTATATTTGGTTACAGTATGTGGTGATGCTTGATTCTTGTCGGTGTTACTGAAGATTGTCTTTCTATGAATTTATCTCAGCTTTCACTAGTTAAGAAAACCTTAAATTTTTTTGTCAGTGCACTGATTTCTTAAGGCGTGATTGAAGAAGCCGCCTTTAGTTTCCTGTTGTTTTGAGACAGAAGAAAAATGTTGAACTTTTCTATCATGAGATACACAGTCCAATCAAGACTGAGAAATACACTGCAGGTTTTTCATTCCTGGGATCCAGGCAGACTGTCGATTCAAATCACATTCTGTTCTATAATATTGGGCCTGCTCTTCCCACTGCTTACCTCCATGCTCTTCTGATGGCCTATGTGTTGGGATAGGGGGGTTTTGAGTCTGACTTAAACCAGTTCAAATATTCCCGTCTAGAAATGTGCCATTAACATAGTGAACACCTTCCTGTCCTCCATTGTCTGAATGGAGTGGTTAGACAGCGGGGTCGCTTTGCCTTCTGTCATCCGTGTGGAAACTGTTTTGTTTAACCACGAGAGATAAATTGGTGAAAGCTCCTTGGCTGTGAGCATTTCAATAGCTGTCTCTGAAAACACAATGAATTATGCTTGCTTGACTGCAGGAGAAATGTAGAGCTTAATTAATGTATGTAAATGATACAGGATTCTCAAAGGCTTTAGTTAGAAACAAAATGTTATCACTTGTTAATTTTTTTTTTTTTAAGCACTTAGCAAGGACAGAAAGCTACAAGCTCTAATGATTTGGGCTGTTCCCCTTGCCCCATGAGACTTGACATGGGAGTTCAGTTCTCCTGGCTGGTGCAACAGGGAGCTATCCATGTTTTTCTCCCACTTTGCCATAAGATCTCACCAAAAAACAGCTGGTAGTTAAAACTTGGTCATAAGCACCAAGAAGGCAGTATTATGTAGTGGGTAGAGGCAATAATAGGCAGCCAGGGCGTTCCCACACTCCCATCCAAAATGAACTCTAAGGTCTCTTCCAGCTTTGGGCAGACCGTTAGACCTCCCCCTATGTCAGTCAGTCCAGCCATAAAATACAAGCTAAAGCAGTACCCTTCCTGCAGAATAGACTAAGGATTAATATTGGGGATGAGGAAGATGATTTCAACAGTATAAATCATGTTGGGATTAATCCCCTCCCATGTCTCTTCATGGACCCAAAGGAGCCTGATTATGAGATGGAGAAAATAGGGGTGAAAGCAATTTTGACATTAGTGTCACTCAGGCTTTGGGTAAAATGCATCAATTTTTTTTTTACTCCTAGAAGTGAGCATGCAAGTGAAATAGCATTTAGTAGGAGCATGTTTGTGTGTTTTGTTTTTGGTTTTTTTTTTTAATGGAATTGTTTTTCTACTGATATACACATAGTTTATCATATACCCCCTGCCTAGTCTGCCTAGTTGCTTCCTGCTGCATCAATGCTGTCTCCCCTCTTGGCACGTAATCGTCATGTAACGCCTTTGCATAGCCAGGGACTGACAAATGGGTGGAGTCAGTGGTCCTATTCCTGTGGTAGCACAACTTCTGATGAGTTTATCTGACATAATTTTCATGAACATAGTTGGCACAGCTGATTTTGATCCTTTGGCTCTCATAAGATACCTTTTGTGTCTGAGTTTTGTACCTGTTACCCAACTTACTATTTATAGAAAGCTCAACAATGAAGTTGTCAACAAAGTAATTTGTCAGGTATACGTGTTTTAGCGGGTCCTGTATAATGTGAATTCACTTTCCTGCTTTAAAAATTTCCATTGCTCTCAGTTGCTCTGGCTACTTGTCTCTTAGATATGATTAATGGTATCTGGAAAAGAGGTTGGCTTTGTAGTCCTGTTGTGAAACACGCAGTTCTAGTAGTTCAGGTTTTCTCTTGTCTGGGATAATTCCAATATAATTGCATTTACCCTCTTTTCTCATAGAACAGAAACATGATATAATTGTGCTTGCAGTTTTATATGGCTTGGAGAAATAAGAGGAAGAAGCAGTAGAGCCATGTTATTTCTTGCCGTTAACTCTGTATTTCTCAGAGGAAAAATATCTTGTGGGGAAACCAGTGGTCTGTGGCCAAAGATCTTCTGCATTCGTCAGACTCCTGTTGTGACAGTTCAGATGCTTTAAAAATCCATTTGGGGCATTAGAAATGGGGATGCAATTTAAAGCATTTCCACTGGTTTCACACACAGACACACACAAAAAAAAAACCCCACACTCCAGAAGTTAAAAACAATTGCAGGAGAAGAATTTATGGCTCTTTACACATCTCATGGAGCTTTAAAGAAGAGAGGGGCTTTTGCAAAATCTTAGGTATGTATGGGAGGAATATTATGTTGTATGTGGTATACTGTAAGCCCACAGGTTACTAATTTCTGTGTCGAAATTCTCTGTGCTTTTTGTAATCGTAGTGTGGAGTTGTGATGTGATTTGAGAAGGAAAATGCTTTATGTATGTAATTTTTTTTTTTTATTATGATTATTATTATTTTAGCATTCCACCCAGTGTTCATGTAACTCAGAACCTGCAAGTCCTGCACTGGGGCTCGAGCACACTCATGGCACAGCCCAGCCTTGTTTGAGAGACTTGTGGGAGCTATAAACCTACCCTTGTGTTTCCAGATTCTGGGTCTCAGCCAGCAGTTACTTCTCACACTTGTTGCAGTGACATATAGTTGTTACTGACCCAAGATCACTTCAGCTATGTTCGGAAACATGCCTTCTAAGGATCCGTTCTGCCAAGGGTATTTTCTCCTGTTCACTTAAGCATCATTCCTATCGTTTTTGGGCTGCTGGAGTGGTCAAAAAAAATTATTTTTCAACAGGGATCTGACTTAATTACATCTAATACAAAATATATTTCAGGCTTTTTATTATTATTGCTCTTTAAAACTTCATTCAGTAATACACAGTTTAAACAAAGGTACTGTAATTTTGTAACTGTAAAAATACACAGACAGTTTGGACCTCAGAGTTATGAGTAAGCTCTGAATACTGTCAAAAGTTTTGTGAGCTTAAAAAAAATGTGCCATGCATGACTCTAAGCTTTTTTTTTTTTTTTTTTTTTAGTATCAGGACCCACCTTAGCTTTTCATGTTCAGTAGTTTGCTTTCCACAGTTCTCACTACTTTCAGTCAGTCAGAAAGTTCATGATCGCAAGTAACAGAAGAATAAAGTCCAGAAAAGGTCAGATATTCCAGCCAAATGTCTGAGTTAGATGGACTTCAGCCTGTGTTTCCAGAAATATGATGCCATGTCTCTCTTAATTGTCTGATAAGAGAGTTGTAAGGAGTAACTTACTTGACCCTCCGTCTCCTCCTATAAGCAATTCTTTTTGCTCTTCTTTGCATCATATAAACAAGATTGCCTGGTGCTGTTGCTCAGTTCTGCATGTTTTTGTGTCGAGGTGTGAGAGGTGCCTCGTGTTAAGTCGTCGTTGTCTTTGGAGTTCTCTGTGTTCACTACATGTTTTTCAGTTTAGGACTTCTGTTGACTTTAAAAAAGAAAAGAGTAGATATAACACACCAAGACATGTCAATTCAGAATAAAACCATACATATGCTAAACATAAATAAAAACTATCAGTATGATGAGTAGCATTAAGAATTAAAGAGAGATCTATATGATAGTATACCTTACGTGATCTGTAGAGAATTTGTACTATAATTCAATTATGGTTTTGGTTTTTTAAGTGAGGTTGTGTAGTTCAAATGTGTCATTTGATACATGTCACCTGACAAAAAGCAAACGGGGAAGGAAAGTAGAGCAAAAAGAAATAAAGTACTTTTCTCTTTTTTCTGTCTGATGTGAAGACTATACGGACCTTACGAGCCAGGAGTCATGGGAAACATCTATGACAGAGTCATCCCCAAGAGATCTCGAGCACCTTTACATATTCTGGGAAGGGGATGAGCAAGCCAAAAAACTAATGCTGTTTGGGGACTTCAGTTCTACTGAAATGGTTGTGTGTATTGCCTACAAGATAGTTAGAAACAATGCTTTTGGTGATAGGAGCTGATCACTGTGATCTCTCTTCAGAGCAGGAGAGTTCCTCAGTTAACTTTTAACTCACTGTTAAAAGGCTGAGTTTTCTATGCAGAATGATCTGTGAAATAACTTGTGCCCTACTTGCCTCCCCCAACTGAAAGATGGTGTTAATTTTGATCTCTGGGCAATCCACTGTTGGCAGACAACTATATCCAAACTACAAACTTATGAATTTAAAGAGGTGATGTATTAAAGGAGCAGAACACTTCTTTCCCAGAAGATAAGCATTAAAGACCTGGCTGGAGCTCGTTGAGGATAGAGAAAGAACCATAAAGCCTTTGC